GGGGAACCGTTAGGTTATCGGACTAGTCGTGGCAGATTTGCAACTCGTGATAGTTTGGTTAAGAAAATTGAGCTTCCGAGTTTCGATGGAGTGAAACCGTATATTTGGATCAATCGAGTGGAGAAATATTTCAGAGCTGCGAAGTATGATGAGGACGAGAAAATGGAGATTGTGGCGTTGAGTTTGACATGAGAGGTATTGAATTGGTATTCTTGGGAAGTGACTCAAGAACCGTTCTTCGATTGGGATCAGTTTAAAGAAAGGATGTTAGACCGTTTTACTGAGTCAATGGATGATGAACCTGGGAATAGGATATGTGCATTACGCTTGACGGGCTATATCAGAGCATACGTGAGTGAGTTTGAAGAGCTGATTAACTTGGTCAAAGGTTTAAGTGAAGCTAATATGATTAACAAGTTCTACACCGGGTTAAAACCAGAAATGAAAGAGGTCATCAAGATGAAAGAACCAAAAGGCCTCGGAAATCACATTGCGGCAGTTATGAAAATGGAAATAAGCGCTTTTTGTCAGATGCTCAACACACACTCAAGTATAACAGGGGGTTATCAGTCGCAGCCAACCTCCAGGCCACAACATAAGCACCATTCATCATCAACTATGACAACAGTAAACAAATTGATAGAGTCAGGGGAGAAAGGGAAAGGTCTGGAGTCACAAAAAAAACAAGCAACGAGAGAAAGGGAGCGAGTACATTTGACACCAGCAGAATTGGCTGAACTTAAAAGACTGAAGCTGTGTTTTAAATGTCGAGAGAAGTGGTTCATGGGTCATCTGTGTGGCAAACCACAACTGTAGATTATGACACTGTTTGAGGGTTTTGAGGTTGAGATTCTAGAGGATTTGTGGGAAGAAGCAATGTCAATGCAGGAGGTTACTCCTCAGGTGATGACATTATCGTTATGTTCTTTCTTGGGGTATGACTCTCCAACAACTCATAAACTTTGAGGCAGAATTGGGAGGATGGTAGTGGTAGTACTGATAGACTCAGGGGCAACACACAACTTCATCAAGCCGGATGTTTTAAAAAAGCTACACATGACATGTCAGTCTCGAGATAATGTACAAGTATTGTTGGGTTCAGGAATAACAATTAATTTAACAGGGATTTGCAGGAATGTTCAGTTGGAGTTACATGGCCTACAATTCTGTATTGACTGCATATCGTTTGAAATTGCCAGATATATTTGGTGTTGGGAGTTCAATGGCTCAGAACACTTGGTGTGTGTGAAGTTGATTGGGAAAGGCATGAAATGAGCTTCATGTATAATGGCAAAAGAGAGACTCTAGTGGGAGAATCAGATTTACACCTGCCTCTCAGAGCTATAAAAGACTCTCACTCAACGCCGTTACAAGCTCTAGAGTTGGATGAATTAGACGTGCCTCTACAGGAGTCTTTGACAACAGCTACGCTTCTTCCGAAGATGTTGGAAGAGCTGTTACAAAAGTTTGATAAGGTGTTCTCACTTCCATCAGGCCTTCCTCCTATCAAGGGCCATGAACATGCAATTGTTCTTAAACCGGGAACACCGCCTATTAGCGTAAGACCCTACAGATATCCGCAGACTCACAAAGAAGCGATGACAGTTTTGGTTAATGATATGTTGAAGAAGGGTATCATTCAACCAAGCCGAAGTCCTTTCTCATTAGTCAAAAAGAAAGATAATACATGGCGTTTTTGTGTGGATTATAGGGCTGTTAATCAGGCTACAGTGGCTGATAAGTTTCTTATATCTGTCATTGGTCAGCTCCTTGATGAATTGAATGGAGCAATTTTCTTTTCAATGCTTGACCTTACTGCGGGATATCATCAAATACGAATGGAACCTCAAGATGTCGAGAAGACAGCTTTTCGTACTAACGCTGGCCATTGTGAGTTCTTAGTCATGTCTTTTGGTTTGACAAATGCACCAGCAACTTTCCAAGCTCTCATGAATGATATCTTCAGACCTTATCTTGGGAAGTTCATAATGGTCTTTTTTGATGATATTCTAGTCTACAGCAAGTCAGAGTCAGCACATTTGGATCATTTGGAGTTGACTTTGTCTATACTGAGGGCTAAAAGGCTGTATGCAAACAAGAAAAAATGTAGTTTTGGTCAAAAACAAATTGATTACTTAGGCCATATTATATCGGAGAAAGGTGTAGCGACTGAAGATAGCAAAACAGAGGCTATGAGAATGTGGCCTACCCCAAAAACCATTAAGCAGCTGAGAGGGTTCTTGGGTTTAACATGATATTATAGAAGATTTGTGAGGAATTATGGTGTGTTGGCTAGACCCCTTACAGATTTATTAAAGAAGGATATGTTCGTTTGGTCTGATAAAGCACAAGAGGCATTTGATAAACTCAAGTCAGTGATGGTTTCAACTCCAGTATTAGCGTTACCTGATTTTACCAAAGATTTTGTGGTTGAAACGGATGCTTCAGGTTTCAGTTTGGGTGTTGTGCTAATGCAGAAAGGTCGTCCCATAGCTTATTTCAGTCATAGTTTGTCTGCTAGAGAACAATTGAAACCTATCTATGAATGTGAGTTAATGACAGTGGTGTTAGCAGTTCGGAAGTGGAAACATTATCTGTTGGGAAGGAAGTTTGTGGTGCATACTGATAAAAAAAGCCTCAAGTTTCTCTTAAAACAAAGAGAGGTCAACATGGAATATCAAAAGTGGCTAATCAAACTGTTGGGTTATGAGTTTACAACTGTTTACAAGAAAGGGGTTGATAACCCATCAACTGATGGCCTATCTCGAATGTTCCCTAAGGAGTCTGTTTTAGCTGCACGTTCTTTGTTGGCAATGACATTACCATCAGTTATTCAAGTGGAAGATCTATATAAAGAGATTGATGAAGATGTGTCGATACAATTTTGGTTGAGTCAGGTGAAGTCAGAACAGATGGAACGTGAAGGTTTTACTATCCAGCAGGGTCGTCTCTGGTTTAAGCATAAATTAGTGATACCAAAGACGTCTAAGTTCATTCCTTTGTTACTGTCTGAGTGCCATGATGGTCTTATGGGAGGTTACTCGGGTGTGCTTAAGACCTTCAAATGTGTGCAACAGTGGTTCTATTGGGAGGGGATGTTTAAGCAAGTTCAGCAGTTTATAGCTGAGTATGTTACATGTCAGACACATAAGTACTCAACTCTGGCACCTGTGGGTTTGTTGCAACTGTTGCCAATACCATCTTTCATCTTGGAGGATTTGTCTATGGAATTTGTTGAGGGGCTTCCTACATCTCAGGGGTACAATGTTGTGTTTGTTGTGGTGGACAGGTTTAGCAAGTATGCCCATTTTCTCAGTCTTAAATATCCGTTTCAAGAACATGATGTGGCTAGAAGTTTTGTCAGTGAAGTAGTTAAACTACACAGGTTTCCTCGGTCAATTGTATCAGATCGTGATAAGGTGTTCCTAAGTGATTCTTGGAAGGAACTCTTTAGGCTATCCGGAACTCAGCTCAAGTTTAGCACCTCTTTTCATCCCCAATCGAATGGTCATACCAAATGGTTAACAGATGCCTGGAGACTTACCTAAGGTGCTTTGCATCGACGCATCGACGGACTTGTCACCATTTTTTGATCTGGGCTGAGCTATGGTACAATACTACGTAACATACATCGCTTAAAGCCACTTCGTTTCGTGTGACTTATGGGCGTGATCCTCCGGGATTACTTTGTTTTGAAAAGGGGTCAACGAAGAACGCTGAGCTAGAGGTTGTTGAAAGAAAGAGATGCGATGTTATGTGATATCAAGAAGCAGTTGGAACATACTCAGCAATTGATGAAAAATAATGCTGATAAACATCGCAGAGAAGTGGTATTTGAAGTTGGTCAACAAGTATTTCTGAAACTTCGTCCCTATAGACAACAGTCGGTAGAGAGGAGAGTTTGTCAGAAGCTTTCGGCTAAATACGTTGGACCATATGAGATCATGGAGCGCATTGGCAAAGTTGCTAATAGATTGAAGTTGCCAGCAGAGTCAAAAATTCATCCAGTCTTTCATCTTTTGCAACTCAAGGCCGTGATCGGCTCTCATCATACTGTCTTTGCTCTTCCATCACAGTTGACTGATGTTGGTGATGTGTTAATACAACCAGAGGATGTGATTGATACGCGCTATAATGAAAAGGGTTGTTTGGAGCTGTTGGTTAAGCGGGTTGATTTGGCAAGTCATGACAATACTTGAGTTCCAATAGTGGAGTTTCAGAAACAGTTTCCTGCATATGCGCTTGAAGGCAAGCTTCATGACGAAGGGGGGGGGGTATTGATAAGCTGAAGTAGTGCTATGTGAGGAGGAAGAAAGTCAAAGCTCATGCTGAGCTGGACGAGTGAGACTCATTTGATTGGTAAAGGAGTTTGTTAGAGTCGGTTAGACTCTGATTAGTATAAATAATGACTGTTGTATTCATTGGAGGTTAGTTTGTAATTCTGGTTAAGAGTCTATTAGACTTGAAGAGCTCACGAGTGGGTTACGCCAATGTGACTCATTATCTGTTACAAGTGTAATTCGTTCTTCAAGATAATAAAAGAGTACTTTCAGTTACGGATAGAGAAGGAGATTCGTATATCCAAATTCTCACTGACAAAAACCGAGAAGAGTAAGAAGTTGCAAAAGGTTGTTTTCTGTTATCAATCTGAGTTGAACAATGCTACAATACATATGATTCTCGCTCAAAAATCATAAGATTCATAAATATACATGGTTTCTAACTTATCAAAACCTAACTAGACTCCTTCAATTGGAAAAAGAAAATGAAAGCCTTATCTTGCCAATGACAGAGTTGAACTGAGTAGGCAATAGTGATAATGGCAAATTAGTGGTTTGAGCATATTTAAGAGTCTTGATACTCTTGACAGCACAACTGATTAAAGTTGATAAACTCCCAAACCTTTAATCAGTAAAGTTTATGGTGAAATTAAAATTGCAAGGAGTCAAGGTGTTCGATACAAAAAACCTAATGTGGGAGCCTGAGATGACAAACCAGTCATGGAACTAGGGCGTATGTCTAATGATCCTGTAGAGATGGAAAGTAAGATTCGCGTGAGAGATGACTATAATAGCTATTCTTATGATCCTAAGGCAAGTAAATGGGAACTGAAGGAACTGTTCTATGCTAAAAAATGGGAACAAGGTTGTGTCGTTGACAATGTATTGTACTATTACGATGTCGACAAGAACAAGTTGAGAGCGTATGATCCAAAGAAAAGGTGGTGGACAGTAGTGAATGGTGTGGAAGAATTGTTGTCTAAGACGAATGGTTCATGGGATACGTACACAGTGAGTTACGATGAGAAACTGGCTCTCTTTCTTCAGGACAGGAAAATATTTGGTGTGTGGAGATTGCTTTGGAAACACGCAACGAAAAGGAGATTTGGTGTAAAGTGCAATGGTTTGATGATGGGATTATTTGGAGTTTGTAAAATCTTTAGCTGTTATTTTTTTTTTTTGGTAAAAACTCTTTAGCTGTTATGGTCTAACGCAAACACGTTTTCACCCAGTAACAGACACAATTACATAGGGGAACATGCGAACAACTATGATACAATCATAATAGTAGCAAAAACATATAGATAGGTATATATTGCAATTTGTTACTATTAACTGCAATGCGGTTTCTAAACATTCGAAAGCCATAGCTTAGTTTTGTTTTTACTTCTTAAACTCAAATTTGTGGTTTCAAATTTGTCGAACCCTTTAATATAATAAATTAAAATATATTATATCTAAGTGATTTGATTATACATTCATAATGTTCTGGGATAAATTTCTTAGATTATGAACCATTAAAGAGCAACAAGGTCGAGAGGTTTCAAGACGTTCACAATTTGTTTCCCTCTCTGTTCTACCAAATTATAAGTGGCACTATAAGTGTTCCAGATTACATAAAGAATTTTGAGAATGTGAGCACATCTCATATTCTTCGAGTAGGGATGGTCGAGCGGACGTACTAGCAAAAAAAAAAAAAAGAACATAGGTTATATTTTTTCCATATAGATCATATCCGGCCAGACGAAGATACTCCTCAGAGAATCAACTCATCTGACCACCACTTGATTTAGTTTTAAATGGGCGGTTGACAAAAAAAAATGACGCTAAAATATTTTAATTTTTTTTATCACATATTGCTTTTAATTACTCATGATAAGTCATATCTGCAGCTTGTTCTTTGATTTATCTTTCTGCTCTGATCAAATATTCTTCCAGCTGTAAATACACAAGTGATGATTAACTTTCTGTTAAAATCATGAAGTTGCAAAAAGTCCAAAAATAAAAGCAACAAATACTGTGATACTTTTTATGATGATCACAATTTTGCCAAAAATGAGTTCAAGTTATTAGCTTTCACACTAAGTATCTAAAGCCATATCAAGTCATAAACTTAGACTTCTAAGTAAGCTCTTGCACATATCTAGTTAACACTAAATATTTTAGTATCCGTTGGAGCTGGGCAAATAAACCGAATACAATAATACAAACAAAGCGAGATCTGATAAAAGGAATCCGAACCAATCCAAACCTAACATAAATATCAAACGGATATTTTTCTGTGATTTTTCGGGTTATGAATTTTACCCGAACCAAATCTTAACCAAAATGAATATTCAAAAAACCAAAATGAATTTCAATATCACAAAAAATAACTTGTACCATACCCGATCACAATCCATAATATGTATCCAAAATATACTTAAATATTATTAATTACATAAAATAATTATCTATTACATGAATAATTAACTCAATAACTTAGATTAATACAGATTTTGGTATCGGATCAATATTGATTTTTATGTTTTGAAAATTGAATTTGAAGTTCAATTATGAATAAATTTAATTTTAAGTTTCTTTTAAAGTTTAAAGAATATCTCTTACATTTATAGAATTGTTAATTGTTAATTATATATGATTTCCATTCACACAAGGCTTTGATTTGTTATTATATATGTTGTCACACATAATTCAAGGACAAATTTTATATGTACATATAAGTTTTAATATTGAAAATATATATTAAGTTTATGCAAGTACAAGTCAATATTTTGGGAACCATACACCCAAACTATTTCGGTTCAATCGGATCTTAGACATGTAAATAAATCAAAACTAAACCGAACGAATTTGATCCAAATTTTTATAATATCTTAATGAAACAAAAATTCATAAATCCAAAAAAAAAAAATCCAAACCGAAATCTGATTGAGATCCCAATTGACAAATCCTAGTTTCCATCCCCTGAAAGTCTGTAGATGTCTGTTGCTCTCACCTATGTTGATTAAGATTAGTATATTTTAGAACATGTTTTATAAATTGTTTAGAGTAGAATAAGTTGACAAAAAAAGAGTAGACAAAAGTGTAATCTCTACAAAAACCTAAAACTTTTTGTATAACTACAAGAATACATATGAAGAAAGTAAACAAAATAAGTTTCTTAAGAGGTAAAAGACGTTTCTCGGTATAAAATGATATATTTTTTTTTTTAAAATATTAACATATATAAAACTTGTAATTTTATTTTCAGAAAAATAATTTGAACCTTTTTTGAAATTATTGTTTTCGCTTTTTTGAATTTTATTTTCCAAGTTTTTTAAACAAATATTAATTTTTAATTTTATACCATAAATATTAGTTAACTCAATAAATGTAAAATTAAAATAAATCAATAATTTTATTTACATTTAGTTATATACATGTATATATTTAAATTTATAATCTTGAAAATATTGTTAATCTATTTATTTGGTTAAAATATATTTAATACAATTCTATATAATTAACAGAAAATTTGGTTAGGTACATAATTATCAAGATGCAAGATTATATTATATTTGTAAATTTTTTAGATATTAAAAAGAAACTAATAGTAATGGTATTTAAAAATTCCAATTATTTTTTAAAACTGCATAAAATTTAATCTTTCGAAATTTTAAATATTATTATATAATATTTATACTATTATATTATTTATTGTTATATTAATGATGATTTATGAATTATTATCAAAAACTTACAAAATATAAAATAATAATTAATGTAAATGCCTATATCACAGTTAGTTTTAAACTATGTTATCATTGTATGTATGTCAGACCATTTTTTTTCTTTCAAAAATCAATGTAGTGATGATATATAACAAACTAATTCTCAAATAAAGTTTAGGGATACTATTGGGGTGATTGGTTAGACTCTAATTGTAGAAATTTTATTGTAGCATTTAGCCTTTAGAAGTTTTAGATGTAGTTGTATATAATGTAGATATATAAATTAAATGAGAAAAAATGGGAAAAGTAAAGATATTCCTAAAGTAATCCTACAACATTGTTTTTTGGTTTAGTAAATACGGTTTTTACGGCCACTTATTTATTTTTTGACTTAGTTTTAAAAATTCTGTAAATCATGAATGGTGATTTATATGGTTGTAGATAGAAAATCAAACAAGTAATAAAAGGAGAATAAGAGCTCCATTTAGCCTATCCACATCATCAAATTTAATCAACCAATGAAAATATTTCAATTTGACATGTCAATTAGAGGCAGATCTTAAATAATAAAAATGTGGTATGTTAAACTTAAATAACTAAATGTCGTCAGTTTTGGTGGTACTTTTACTTTGGCTGGCGCCCCTTAACCCGGGTTCAAACCTATCAGAAACCCTATTTTACATCTTTTTTATTTAAAAATTTAAGGCACATTTAGTTTTAGCCCATGTTTAAAATCCTTCTGGGTTCACCACTGATATCACCTAAGCTTCTATCGACCGGATCTTAAACATGTCATTCATTTGGGCTCATTATTTTCATCACTAGCCCATTTAAAATCCACATCATCAACTCTGGTCTTCTTTGACGTTAACGATGGTGATGATCGACTTCGGCACTTCCACTCCCTGAAAATCACTCTTTCTTCTCTGAAATAATCATGACTCAGTCTCAATCTTACTTCTGTTCTTAAATCATTTTTGGTGATTTCGTTTCACCTACCACCATTCCTTTTCCTAATTCAGTTCAACAAATAAATTCCAAATCGCCTAATCCATAAAGCCCCTAATTCTCCTCCTCTTCCTCCTCCTCTTCCATCTTCGTCTTCTCCACTGTCTCTCAGTCGATGATATTTTCTTTACCAATCTGCAACATTATCATTCTCATAGCAGGATTCCGTCGGCTGACCTACGTGGCTAACCAGCATCTCGGGCGAAGCTATCCACGGCCGTTCAAGTTGTTTTTAAAAATGTTAGGACATTCATATATTAAATTTAAAATTTTCTCTCACACTTTCATCACCATGGAGCTTTTACTGGTTACATGTCTGCAACCTAGAGATTGATTTTAGATTTTCCATTTCATAACACTCATATTGCGTTCTCTTTATTTGTTCCTCCGGAAACAACCAATGGTTAAGGGAGCGAGAAGAAGAAACATACCACCATGGTAAAACTTTTGATTTTCTTCTAAATTTTCTAAAACCAATAATAATGTGACTAAATCTCTGCTTTTGGTTTCAGCCAGAGCAGATGATTTTCATGGACTCCAGAATCAGAAAGTTCAAATCTTAGTAGCTGAGTATTGGAAGTTTCTGTAGGCAATTCTGATGACTAAGACAAGAATAATCTGTGAGGTTCTCTCTATTGTATCTTTTCGCCTTCTGTTGTTAATTGTTATCGCAAATGGTTTTGTTTCTCATCACTTCAAGTGTTAATTGACTATTTCAATTTAGAACCCTTCTTCAGATGTAATGCATAACATTATACCAGTGTAAATATCACCATCTGCAGGGGAAACAATTTTAAATATATCATGTGGGACAAAGGTGCGGAAGTTGAACATAAGTGGAAGTACTCCTTCCTTACTTTTGGTGACAACCACGTATCCAAAAAAAGTTGGAGGTAAATCAGTGTCGTCACATTTTCCAAACCTAACATTTTTGTTACTTTTTATTATTTTGAGATTTCATTGTGGTTTTTCTGTAAGAAAAGCTACACTACTTAGTTGTTTGTTTAATTTACCACACCCTCATACTGCTTTTTCTATCAGCTTTGTTTAAAGTTATAGAGTTTGAGTTTCTTTTAAAATAACAGCTTGTGTTTAGTATGACTATTAGTGTTTATTTTAAAATTAAACAACCAGTCGTGTTTCTTTTAAACTTGAATTCATTTTGTTTTCAAATTGCGGATCAGATTTTTTTTCTAAGTTACATGTCATTTTTCTGCTTATTTGTGTTGTCATTTTTTGTTTTCAAGTTAAGTTTGTGTTTATTTCCAAATTACTGATCGTCTTTTTTAAAATTGCAGCTTGTTTCCTCTGCTTATTAGTGTTGTTGTTGAAATTACAGGCCGTGCTTGCTTTTAAATTGCAAGTCGTGTTTTGTTTTCTTATTAGTGTTTATGTATTTATCTTTAAACTAAACTAGATCATAACCCCCCCCGACTGGGCGGGTCTTTGTTTTTAAGGTATATATAAATATTTTAAAATTACAATCTTACGGTTCCAATTTTACTAAGTAATAGTATAATGTTTAAACATTGTATTTCATCACTGTATTGTGTAACAGGACGTCGGTAAAATGTTGTGACCCGTAAATATTTTAGTAATATTTTATAAAGTTTTTTGACTAAATTTGGTGAAAAATTATATACACTAAACAATTTAGTCAAATTTTTAAGTTCTTTTTTTAATGAAGAATTGGAATGCTAGTATATTACTGTTAAAAACTTTTAACAATAGTCAATATAAATTATATAAATAAAATGTATATTATTCTTGATTTATTCCAAATACATTTAAAACACGAGTACATATATACATAATTTTCAGAAATAAAATAATATCAAGGATAGAAAACCCAAAAACAATAATAATGGTACTTTGGGCCGCAGTAATTTTTAGTTTAATAAGTAAGCCCATTAGATTTGTAGGCTATCCTTGTTTCCAATCATCTTAATTTTAAATACTTACTATTCATGTTTCCAAACACTTAATTTTTGTACTTTAGCTTTAATAGTATAGATATTAGGTCGTCTTTGTTTACCATTTATTATATGTGTTTATTTCAAATATCTGATTGTCTTTGTTTTCAGATAACATGTTGTGTTAGTTCTATATGTTGGTGTATGTTTCTAAATGGAACATCTTAACGTATGTATTTTAAATTTCAGATACTGAATAGAAATATCTAT